AATATGGGTACTAACAGCAGTCACCCCTGTTTCTAGCCCCACAGAGGAAACCAGGATGAGTACTGACTGGAGTTTTGTTAGTTTAGACACTCTCATTCTGCATTGTAAAATATCAACTATATTCCCACAACTAAGGACTCGCATGAGTCAGCAATCAGAGATTTAATAAGGAGATTCTATGATCTTTTTCACTGATGATTTTGTAAATTGATCTCTCTGTTCATCCTTAATAAGAAAATGCTGTGTGGGAAATCAACTAATGTAGCTGTCAACATCGTGTGATTTCTGTGTTTAAGGTTAGGCTACTCACAAAGAAGTGTTTTCCTTGATAGCTGTAAGATAGTTGTGGTTGTTTGGTTTGTGATATTGTGGATTGTAGAAGATGATTCAGTATTAGCTAAATTTGTGCAAAAAGGAGCAAAAAGCTGATGTAAAACATAACAAAATGGAACAATAATCTTTTTTTTTATTATTTCTTTATACAGGTATAAAAGACTGCAAGAAGCAAAGTCAACAGAGAACGATACCCAATTTTGGCTTAAAATTTCAGTCATTGTTTACACAATACAGGGAACCATATTTTGAACTCTGTTACATTAGTTTAGACACACACTCCCTTGTCTGTAGTCAGTTGTGCTTCTGTAGATTTACATCAATATGCAGTTACAATCTAGAAGTAAGGGTAAGTGTGTGTGTGTGTGCGCATTCAAACGCGTGCCTGCATAAATGCCATTTGATATAGTCAACAGACAGGGTCATTTTACTGTTCTGAAGAAACTGGGTTCCCTCCCAAACTGCTGAACACTATTCACTCATTGTATCAAGGCACGAAGCTAACTGAAAACAAAGAATCAACCCCCCCTTTGACATCAACAAAGGGGTGAAACAGGGATGTGTCTTAAACTCTGTGCTTTTTAACGTCCGCTTTTCATTCCTGATTCTTCATACATTCAAGAACAGCAATAACGGCATTTCACCCAGACTAGATGGAGACTTGTTCAACATCGCAAAGTTTAGGGTGAAAACCGAGGTGAAAGAACTAGTTCTGAGAGATATTCTGTTTGTGCATGACACAGCCTTGGTTGCCCATGGTGAATCTTCCCTGCAAAATCTTTTGAGTACCTTTTCTAAGTCATGCAAGAGCTTCAGGATGGCAATTCGTCTCAAGAAGATTGCAATCATGTACCAAGGGGTGGAAAAACCAATACCTGACATCAGTCTGGAGGATAAATCTCTTGGTGACATTGACAGTTTTTGCTACTTGGGTTCCATCATCAGCAGGAATCTTGACCTTCAGACTGAACTGACTAACAGAATCAGAAAAGCAGCTAGAATTTCAGGCTATTACAGAAATGTGCATGAGATAACAACAAATGATCAACTAAGGTGAAGATGCGAATCTATGAGACTTGTGTGCTGTCATCCCTGCTTTATGGCTCAGAAAGATGGACTATATAAGCTGGGAACATAAAGAGACTGAACAGCTTTCACATCAAATGTCTGCACAAGATCCTGAAAATAAAATGTGAAAACAGACCACCAAACATGAAGGTACCGGAGCACACAGAACTGATGCACTTAGAAACCACTGTCAAGAAGAGGAGGTTGCAATGGATCAGCCATGTCAGGAAAATGGGAGACTGTATCCCCAGAAATATTGTGTATAGTGAGGTTTGAGACAGCCCTAGAAAGTGGGGTCACCCTCTATGTTAGGACCATGACGTGCAAATATGATATAAGCACCAGTGTAGAAAGTTGGGAGGAGTACACAGAACTCCATCCGATATGGAGGGAACATTTGGCACTGGGTGCAGCTCAACATGAAGTGGCTTTGATCCAGAGGATTTAAGCAGTGAGAAGGAAGAAAGCAAAATGCAGTAAACTTGGACTCCAACTCAGACAACATATGGATCTATGAAACTTGTAACAAGCTATGTCACTCTTGGATTGGGCTTATCAGCTACAGATGGATTCATCAGGCATCTGACTAGACCTCATGTAAACCATGATTTAGATGATTGATGGTTGCCTATATAAAGTGGTATAGATGCAGCTGTGCCACTTTTGGTTTTGGCATTTATGCACAACTGCAGATTCTGTATTACTTTCCAGAGAAACCGAATTCCTCTGAAAGCAAAGTAGTGTGAAAAGGAAAATGAGTCTCTAATGCTCTACAACATCTTACTGGTTAGGACACTTATCCAGAAACCAGCAGCTGCAGGTACTAGGCCTCCTGCACCAAAAGCAGATTTTTACCTATATCTCAGAACAATTTTCTAGCAACCAGAATATGTCAAGCTAATGCCAGAACCTTCTCCAACACTTTTCTTAAAGTTGGCCCAATGCACCTGGCTTTTAATATTTTTGGATAAAATGAATGGAGAGCAGTGGTTGAGATTCTTGGGAGTAAGAGCCGCTTCCCATACCCTTTCCTTCCCTTCCCCTACACCCCTCCAGCTACTATTGATGGCTGCCAGCTGGCAGGGGGCAGGGCTGGAGAGAGATTCATAGATGTTAGGGCCTGGAGGAGACCTTACAGATCATTGGGTCCAGCCCCCCTGCATATAGACAGGAAAGACTGCTGGGGGCAGATGATCCCAGCAAAGTGGGTGTCAAGACGCTTTTTGAAGATCACCAGGATGGGTAACTGTACCACCTCTGGTGCAGAAAGGGGCCACTCCAGCAACCTCTTTAAAGGCATGCGGGAGTGCTCCCAGTCTACTGGCCTCAGCCAGTGCACACCAAGTGTGAACATCAGTTCTGTTCACTCCCACACTAATCTAAGGTGCTTTGAGTAAAGCACAATACTTAGAGCACTTCCACCTCAGGCTTTTTGAATGTCTGTACTTAGCTTAGGTAAAAGGGGCCCTAAAACCTGAATTTCCTCCTCCTTGGGTAAGTGTCTTAACCATGAGATTACTGAGGTAAAACATTTGAGGGTTCTTCTCCTCTGGAATCTAACAGTCACTGGTCATGGGTTTTGTCCAGCTACAATTTTGGGACTTACCCAGCCTTGCGCATACCTGAGTAAGTAAACAGACACATCTATCTGGCCAGAGTGCAGCCCAACTGAGCATACTCAGTTCAATCAGTTGGCAATGTCATTCTTTACAGAGCATGGTTTATCTGTAGCATCTGAGCAGTAGATTCTTTTCTCCTCTGACACCGATCATCACACAACTCTGCCTCATAGTGCCTCACTTCATTGACAAGCTGAGCCCACAAACCAGAGCAGCACTATTCACTCCTTTCCCAATTATCCACAGAAATTCCAAAGGATGCCAAGTCATCTTTGCAAGCACCTATAATCTGCACTGCTGTCTGCCTCTTTTTCATGAGATTTGGAGTACAGAATATTCTTTGGAATCCTGTGATCTGGCATTCATTAAAGCACCACCTGCCCCCCACTCCCAGAGCACGTGTATAAATGCCCCGTGCTCTTTAGTTAATGCACATTAAGACAGCTAATACTCATTTTCCTAGCACCTCACAATGGAAGTACTACATTTAATGTGTACTAACTGAAGTGCATTAATGAACATGTAGCTGCACCCAAAGTTCCTTGTTTCTGAGAGAGAGAACCCCCTGGACATTATAAGATTAGACTTGCTTGTTTTGGATACATTACTGAAAAAGATGAGACAACTTCATATGTAGTTTTTGAACTGATCTGAATTCCATTTGCTGTCCTCTGGGTTTTTCTGAAGCTTTACATCAGTATTCCTGATTAACTTGTGTTTATTTCTGAAAAGTCAAGATGTGGAAGAGGCAGCAAAACAACATTGCAGAAGACATCCAGTTATTTTGGTTTTGGTCTCAGAATCTTTTCAAGAGTTTTATGCCCTTAACGTAGTGTGGCTCAGATCTTCAAATAAAGCAAATAAAGCACATGTTGCAGCAAGAATTCTTGTTTTCCGGGGGAAAAGGTTGTGTTGACATGTGTTGTTTTTTTTTTTTTTTTTAACTATAACATGTTTCCATATTTCAGAGATTAGCATTTACAACGACTTTACACAAGTAGAAGGTGATGTACAAGGTCTGAGGCAAAGAAGAATTAGGCCTGGAGATGCTTTTTTTCCAGGGAAGAGAGCAGAAAATGATACAGAGCTCTGTTGCATTATCAGGGAAACAGACATGCTACAGAGTTAAAGTATATAAAAAAAAAATCATAGTTAATTTAGGAACAATACTCAAAGAGGAAGGTTCCTGGCATGATAGCTCAGAAGGAACTGGCTATTCATGTACAAAGCCAGAGGGACACAAACAGGATAACATAAGAGAAGGATGACTCTAAAGTGGACAGATACTGAATATCAATATAAAAATAGACTTTTACCATGGGGTTAACTTAATTTTAAAGAATAGCATTAATCATAGTAATGCCAACAATATTTCAGCTCAGCTCCTAAATAGGACTTAAATATTTTTGCATGTTTAATAGACTTAAAATTCTAAGCCTCAAACTTAGTCTGACTTTTAAATCTCAGGGGAGTTTTTACAAATATGAGTCTTCTTCCCTCCTCCCCATGTCCCCACCACACACCTGTCGTTTTGTAAAATTAGCCCATTTGATGAACAAGCCATTGCACATAACACAGAAAGTGACCTCTGTAACAGTAATGTCTTAGAGAATAGACAGAAACTTCAAGACAAACTATTTATTCAGACTGAAAGTAGAAGCAACCCAAAGGGAATTTCACAAACATCACCAAAAGTGTTGCACATTCCTTTACTGTAGTTTTGCAGCACAAGAGAACATTTTAAGGAACCACTGCTTTAACAGGGATACCGATCTGTCATTTCACAAAAGCCTTGAGGACAACAGATGGCATTCAGGTCAGCTCAAAAGCTTACAAGTGAAGGCATCTTATGTCTTCTGGAAACTTGTCAAAAATTAAGACGACAAAGGCCTTTCTTACCTGCTTAACATAGTCCAGGTAGAACTGCACCTGGCACTAGATGCAGACAACAGCTGTTCCACCAGCATCCATAATCTGTACTGGTGGCTTCCTGGCAGTACCTGTTTGCCCTGAATGCAAGAAGCATCTGTTTCACATTTATTCATTTACTCATATGGCAATATCTACATTACTTTCTACCTTTGGATACAAGGCTCTCATTTATAATTCATAGTACACAGATGCTTACAGAGAGTAGAAGCTTTGGCTACATTACCTGTCACTCTTAGTATATTTTGTATTCATGGTGGGTAAATATACAAGTAGGATAAAGCTCTGCCATATTGTGTATGGCTATCTATAATGCATTAGCAAACTGTTGTTCGATCATTTATACCACCATTCTTTGTGGTTGAAATTGTTAGAATGAAAAATGAAACAAACTCAAGACTCATCCTCTCTCACCCTCTCTATTTTCCCTTTTTTCCCTGGAAAATGAAGGTGATTTTGTCTTCTATTGTTTCCTTTGCTCATCTTCTTTGTGTATGATTATCATTCAGTACTCAGTCAGCTATTCAATATGTTCACCACTGCATCTGGCTTCAGGAGAAGATGCTTCCTGTTCTTTGCCTTTGTGGGCTCATAAATTCAGCCTGCTGAGAATGTTAAAGGCAAAAAAATACTCAGGCATATCAGCAAGAGAAAGTGAATGTAACTAGGGAAACATTTACTCAAGATTACATATTAAGCAATTTGCTCTTTATTGCTGAATGAATATATAGATAGAATATATTAACTGTACTTACCAAGAACCCACTGCATTCATCAAATGATGTTAAAAATGACTGCTCTTGAATGAGGAGAGAATGTTATATATATTGTGTTGTTTTTAGATGATTTTTAATGCAGTAAATATTAAAGAAAGCCTTTGTCCTCTGCATGAGTTCTCACTCATTTTTTTAGGACAGCAACTTTGCCAGAGATGCTTGACTTAAGATCCCATTAAAATGAAAATGTACTCAAGACTCTTACAGGGAATAATGCTTGAAGACATGGACACCAAGCATGCTTGGAAGCCTGGAAAGTTTACAGAGCTCCTGTAATGGGCATGCTATCACATTAAAGAATTAGCATAGCCGTAGGCAACATTTTTTATTCCAGTAGATGTGAATGACATTTTGATATTCCTTTTCTGTGCATTAGATTTTCATGACTACACATTAAAAAGCAAAAGGTTGTTTTGTACCTGTTGACATTTAGTCTTATTTCCCTTTCTCAGTGGATATGCCCTCCCAAATAAAGCCTGGGGGGTTCATCTCATTTTTCAAATTTTCACTTTCTCCCTCCCAATATCTTACATATCATTATTCATTTCTCTGTTTCCAATTTCCAGCTAAACAGATCTGGAAACTGAATCCTGTCAGTGTTACATCTCCTGATTGTTCAAACTCCACCAGATTGTTTCCATTCTTACTACAACCCCCCCACCTATTCAGCCACTGTTGATTTTGGAAGCCTTGACTTCATACCCATCCCTTGAACCAAGCATTAAAAAAAATCACCTTACTATTCAAGCCTTCACAATATTGTCAACCTCAAAATAAATTAAGGTAAAAATGCCAATTATCTGAAGTCATGAGATTCATGTTTCTTATCTCCCAGGTGAGGGACAGACATTACACATAAACCAGGATAAGTGATGGGAAACTGATTAAAATCTGTTGCAGAACAGAAGGTTAGCCCACATAAACTGGTTTCAAAATGGCCAACCCCAGTTTAAGATAAACATGGAGGGTTATAGTATCAGACTTAACTGATTCAGGTTAAACTGGTTTATTAAACTTCTGTCCAAATCCCCTTAACCCGTTCTATTGAACTGCTGACCCAGCCAGGGCTGGGTTGCTCTGTTGGCTCCCTAGACCCCTCTGCCTGCTCTAGTCAGGAGCCAAGGCTGGGCAGAGGGGCTATGATCTGACAGAGAAGAAGCCTTAGTTCCCTGCCCCACACAGCTTCAACTTCACCCATATCACCACCAGCCTGAATGCCAGACATGCCAGGGCCTGCTCTGGAAGCCTAAAGCATAGTGTGGAGAGGGTCTACGGTGAAAGCAAGGGGTTGGGGGTATGTGCCCCGCAGCCAGTCAAGGATGGCCCCAGCTTGACTAGGCTTGACTGCCCTCTGGCAAAGCCCAGCAGGTAGGGAGGTATGCAGGAGCACACCCCACCTTCTGGTCTTGGACAGTGCAATCGTCTGTTTCCTCCCCTGCCACAGAAGGAGAAATGTGTGTTCTGTTCTCTCCTAATCCAATCTACACAGTTTAGAGAAACTCACACAGATTGAATCAATACCCCCTCAGGCTTTTTTACTATCTGTGCTTAGCCTCCATCACTAATACTTAAGAAACTCTTTCAACTGTCTCAGCAATCAACCCAGTAGCTTAGTATGTCAATGAGTATCTGAGAGAGATACCTGATCACTACAATTAAGTATATGACTCTTCCAGCCATTCACTGTATAAGCCTAGGACAAAAAAAAAAAAAAAAAAAAAAAGAATCCACCCAACCTAATTTAACTGGTTTATTTATTTATCTTGGAAATATATTTATATAGCATTCCTTGACAACTAACATATAGCCAAAAAAAAGTGTCAATGGCATTCGGCCTCTAAACTTCAACATTATGCTACAGCTATGTGTATACAGCAGTGCATATGCATGCACTCTCCAAAGGAGAACAGAAGTGATTATAACTCAGGCAGCCACTTTCTCTACTATTTGTATTAGGGTGAGTAATTTGCTCCATCCTTCTGGAGGGAAAAGATTGTTCTGGTGGTTGCCTTAGCCGTTTGTTTACTTTTGGTAAAACAGGAACAAACAACACTTAGGATCATAGGAAAGTAGGGCTGGAAAGGATCTCATAAGGTCATCTAGTTCAGCCCCCTCCTCAAGTCAGGATTATCACTGACCAAACCATCCTGGCTAAGTGTCTGTCTAACCTGCTTTTGAGAGTTTCCAAGGATGGAGATTCCATAGGGACTATCACTGTGTCTGGACTTTTGCACAGTCATGCAAGGGGAGAAGGGAGGTGTATGGCGGCCTTCCTAACCTGCACAGGAGCCTCTCACAATTTGGCTGCAGGTCATTACTTGCCTATATTTAAATCTAGATGTCACTTAAAATATGTGGTTTATATAGAGGATGCAAACAAATAAATGAAATTGGTGATTGAAGTTCAGCTCCCTACTAAATCACTTGAAACTGAATGTTAGCATATAGATTCTTTTGTTCCCCTTTGGTTATTATCAGGTGGAGTGCAAACGTGTCCTCTCTGACTGACCCATTTGGAACCCCGGTAAGCCTGTAAACGGAGATTTTATTAACCTGCCCTCTATATGATACCATCTTCATACTCTCTAATAGTAGATTCAAATTAAGACAAATCACACCCTAACTGCCTAAAGCTTATTCATTTCGGGAGTTTATATGTTACTATTTCACTGCCAGTGTTTAAACATTGAATGTTAATATCCATATAGGAGATATTTTCACTGGCAATAGAGTGCCTGGTGAACACTCAGGTTTCAGTAACATCACTGAATGACGTGAAGTCTGTTAATCTTTATACTTCATCACACTTTCTAGTTTAACTCCATATAAAAATAGTTACAACAGATCTTCATACATTTTCATAGTACGCTTACTATACAATTTTCAGATGAAAAAGGAAAAGCTTTTACTGCCTGGCTGTTCTATGGCCACTTTAGAGTAAGGATTTGTTATCTTGGCTGACAACTGCACTGAAGCCCATAATAAGAATCCCCTTCACTTGCTCTAACAAGCAAATTCCCTGTTTCCCAAGAACACTCTCCTAGAAAGGGAGCGCTGTATGTGTATCTCACTTGAAAAGAAAGCCTATCTGCTCTGCTATTTTCTCCTTTTATTTTCCTTATTTGCAACTCAGCTCACGTAGAACTCAAAGAAGCTATTGTGCGTTGGAAGTGCTGCAGCTGGTTTCCTCCAGTGCTCCCTCCCAGTAATCTCCCCATTCATAGCACAGGAGGCAGTGGTGGTCTTATACAAGATTGGTTTAAATTGGAAATCAATACTGGTTCCTCACTCCCTACAAAAGAGCTGAACTGGACTGGCTTGGCTCCAAGGGGAAAAAGACTTGGGTGGAAGACTGGCTGCCAATGGGTTAGGTACTCTGCTGCATACCAGCCTATTTGGGTTTCTGCCACTGAACACATCACAAGAAGTATAAGATAACCTGGATTACTTCCTACTATCTGGTTTTGAATGGACAGATAAATACTGGAAAAAATAAAAGTTGGAGGCTTCCTTTCCCTAGATGTATATTAACCTATAAATACATAAATATTTTTGTTCAGCATCAGTAGGAAATTTCATCTGATACTGTGCTAACCAGCTGCAGAAGGGATAGAAAACTTGTTCAGCAAAGAACAAGTATGACTCTGGTATGATTCCTTGTTCTCTAGTTAAAGAAAAATGTGAGTTAATTAGCAATTCCATCAGACACTGCTCAGTGATTGGAACTTAGTTTCACAGGGTCTCACTCGACAAGTCTTTCTATTTAATCTGCTGTATTTAAATTGTCTCTGGAATAAATCTCAATACAATTTTCATTTCTGAAATCAATGGTTGTTTGCAATTTTATTCAAATATTAAAAAATAAAACCCTGAAACATCTTGGTTTCAGTTGTCATCCAGGTGGCTAAAAATGCAGAGTGCTATGAAATTTAGGCATTAAATAATTTTATTGGTATCATCCAGTATAGATACAGATATAGATATAGATGTGTGTGTCTGTGTTCTTAATATCACCTGCCCATCATAAGGCTTCCCTAATGTATTTACTTTAGAGTCCTGCAAGTAGGAGGGGAGTTAATCTTAACAGAAAGTTACATTGCTTTGCATTAGAAACTACCCACATACAAAGCTATCAACCTTCCAAGGGATACAATATATGACAAAAAGCCCAAGCTGGAGGATAAAAAAAATAAGCAATGCAGAACACTTAATGGGCATCTGGGATAATTCCTGTATGCTGAGGTTGTATGACCTCAGGTTCAGGATCTTTTTTTCAACAAAAAAAAGAGGGGAGGGGCATCACCCTGGGTTCCCCAAGTCAAATGTAAGGAACCTTTAGACTAAATGCAATAAAACCCTTACAAGGCAGAGCATTGGAGAAATGTACTTGTACGTGGTGACCTTTTCATGTGATACCAAAGAATTCTTGAAGATGGGTAGCTCTGATTAAAAAAAACAAAACAAAACAGTGGATGCAGTGAAGAAAGAGAATTTCACTCTGGGAGGGCTGATGCTTAAGGGTGTGTAGATGTAATCGGGGGCCTAAATTGAAGTGGCGTGTTTTAAAAAACACCACTTCAATTTAGGGCTGATTAAGCCCCCATGTCATGCCCACACCCAGCTGACTTACCTGCCTCTCTGGCGGGGAGGAGAGGATGAGCTGCTGGTGGGTGGAGCAGTCCATGGGCTGTGGGGAGGCTGGT